ATATCTGGTATTTTATCCAGCCAGTAGATTTGTTAGCTTTTAGATTGTGGAGTGTCAGTGCGACATTTTCAACATTAAATTGTGAAAAGTAAAATGTCGAATTTGACATAGACGCAGGTTGGTTGTTATTGCTCGTCAGTCCTTCATCAAAAAATTCTTCGCTCGCCTCAGATGCCAGTCTAGGGCCAATGTTAACGAAATATTCATTGAAAGATCAGCAATTATCTTAGGATCAGAAATGGATGAACTTTAGACTTCGCTAGTGCGTTCCTTTCCCCAGGTGTTAGTAGCCGTGCGGAATAGTACCCTCGCCCCTGACTTTCGCTCGGAACGGCCGGCGCTCCACGTCGTTAGCTCTGGGAAACTACGGAGCTTTTAAAATACAAAGCAGAAAGCAGGAAAGAATAGACCAAAGAGCGAAGCAATTATATCTGTTCTACGTGCAAAAACAGTAAAATTAGTCGGCTTGGCATTCGTCGAATTTTTTTTTTCGTAAGGGCAACAAAAACGTACGATAAGTGATTTAGAAAGTACCGTCAATGCATCTGATAAGAACGGCTCGATATATTTTCGGGGAAAGGCAAAAAATACAATAATTTGAAGGATTATGACTGCGCAGCAGGACAAAACCTGCGATTTAACCTCTTCCACTGCCAATTTTGTAGCCCAGATGCTGAAAAAGATTTTGCAAATGAGTGTGTGTATCTTTCCCCAGCATGTTAATTAAATAAACAGTTTCTGTGCCACTTCAGCGTCGAAATTTTATGAACATTTTGTAGTGATTTTGTTCCTTCGCTCGATTAAAAATTCAAGCGAAAGTAAAAGCAAGCGCGCGTGGCGTTACTAGGTACAATGTAAGGATACTTTCAATGTTGATCATTTGAGTAAAATTCTGTATTATGTAATATCTTCTACTTAATTATAAAAGAAATAGAAAAACGCTTGAACGCTTCTCTCGTGTTCTCCCAACATTCCCGTTGTCACACAACAAACGCACGTACACGAACCGTTATCTAAATTGTTTATAAGAATGACCTGATTACACCATGTTATATAAGCCAGTAATTGTTCAGCAATATAGTTCGCTTCCAATTGTTTGTAGTTTTTTATTCAATAATAATTTTTATATTAATTTTCAGATGCTACATGATGAAGTCGGAGGAGGTTGTTTTAAACTGATTTGCAGAAAATGAAGTGGAAATGTCTGCTGGTAATAATAAAGAAATGCTAAATGAAATATATGGGGATGATTTTAAAAATAATTATAAGCGTTTGAAAACAATGCAGCAAATATATTTTAGTTCATTCAATAATTGATTCTGCTGAGTTTCTTGTTTATTTTATTACAATACCGTCGTATAATTAAATAGCTCTTCTTGCGTATAATATTTGCTTTAAACACCTGCCACGGCGCCGACAATACGCATAATCAGTTCTAATCTCCTATTTGAGAGCTGTGGATCTAAAGCAAATTATTCCACATATAAGCACTCTGTATGCTCCAAGGGAATAAAGTATAAATTATAGTATTATTATATACTAGAGTATTTATTAAATAGAGAATAATACAATACATGGTTGCGCGGAAATACCAGATTTATTTCGAGTGTTGAACATGATATCTCACGAGTGAGATATCATGTTCAACACGAGAAATAAATCTGGTATTTCCAAGCACCCATGTATTTTTCTGTTTATTATATGAAGGACAGTCTTTGAAAAGCGATCATTTTGACAGAAAAGTGATCATTGAAAAGCGATTATTTTCACATGTGAGATTTTCATGAATAACCTCACATGTGAGATTATCACTTTCATCAGTGCTCGAAAACTCTATAAAGCACCATACTTTATACAATAAATAACAATAATATATTGTAGTTTTTCAATTACTTCACAGTGACATGCAGTACTACTACTGTCAGACTGCCTGTGCAAGCAGCCGTGAGACATAACAAACAACGCGAATTCTTCGGCCAAGAAGATAAAAATTAGACGTGCTAGCTTCTTGTTATTTTCTCTCTCTAGACATCTTAATTTTTCAAGAGAAACTACTGATCTAGTCGTATATTTTAGAAAAAAAACAAACATTTCGAAACTGATATATTTATCCATGAAGGCCATGAAAAAGTTGCACGCCAGCAATGAATTGGTTAGCGCTAAGGCAAATTCGCTTTTGCACATGCACTAAAATGTCCATGAATCGTGGAGACTTTTGCAGCCTTTACCAGGGTCTTCTCATTTTTCGCGCGCCATGTACAAAGAAGACGCTGGGGACGAGGTTGACGACCATTAATGTCAAGCGCAATCTCGTACGCAGAGCCCTTCTTACGCGCGGTCAGCCGAGCGCGACGAGGGGATCTGGCCAAATCCACATCAAACTGGCATCTGATTGGCCACAATGAAACAGATGTTTTATTGTAAACATGAATTAAAATACACAAGCGCTCCATGAAGCGTTGGTTTTCGCTTTGGAGAAAATTGGGAGGAAAAACATTATTAAAGTTGACATAAGATATACCATTCCGACATAAGACATACCGTACCTACATAAGACATACCATACTGCAAATCCTCTGGAATTTGTTATAATTCGGTCTCTAAGAAGAAAATATCCTTTATAAACTACATATTCTGACTGGTTCATTTTTCGGCACTTCAGTCCTCAATCAAACCTCTAGAATTATAAAAAACATTTGTTCACATTCATATTTATACTGTAATAACATTCATTATTACTGCAGTATTATTCAATCTTATTTTTATCTTATTATATAATAATTTTAAAATTCAATCAGTCCATATATCTTGTAGAAAAAATTACCATATTCTCTGCTGATTTTGTAAACTTCAGCCCCCTGGCTCTGACACTATACAACAAAAGTGTTCTTTGTATTTTGATAGTTATTCATGCAACATTTATTATAGCAAAAAGTCAACATATTTATGGCCAATGCTCGTCGTATTCCTAAATCAGTGATGTTAATTAAACAAATCTGCATGTGTTCATGTTGAAATCAGATTTGAGGTAAACAAAGAGCAACAAGCCAGCCAGAATATGAAGTTTATGATGACCACTTTCTTATTAGAAACCGACTTTTTACAATTTTTAGGGCATTGGCAGCACGGTTGGTCTTATGCATGACTGTTGACTTTTCATAAAACACAAAAAAATAATTTAAAAATCCGTAAAATAGGGACTTAAAATCGAGAATAAAATAGTGAGACAATCTCTGGTCTTCGTATCCGTTTAATACTGCTTAGTTTTTCAGTCACTTTGACAACGTTTAAGAGGGAAATATATACTAAATTTTATCAACATGCATTGAGAACATCACGTCTTACCTACTAATTGATTTAAATAAATAAAATTAGCGAAACCTACCGCTTTTTGGGGGTTCTCCTGAAGAAAAACTTTAACAAAACAAACAAGAAAATCAAAGCCGAACTGTCCATCCGCGTTCGACGTCACATAAGAATTAAGAAAGTCTATTGAGCATACGCAGCGTTTAATCGAACTTTTTTGAATTGAAACGTACTCTAGCTTATATTCATTTACAATAGCGAACCAGAAAAGTGTTAGATATTCAGTTAGTTTGTCTTATTTTACAAATATAGCCTTTCAAAATGTAATTAAAGAAAGGTTTTGTTTACATTACGGACTCGACATGGGCTTTAAATATACTACTTAGGTATG